TAGCATGCAGTAAGACATCCCGTCAGTGGAGTACCGCAGTAACACGGCATGTTTGCCATCAGCATTGTATCAAACGAATCACGTGGTGTGCCGTTCTCGTTCAAACCCGGGATTCGATCAATAGGGGAGTCCCATTAAAAAAACACATTGCAAATCATGCAAGTTCAACATTTTCAAACCAATATACTAAAAGAGAAATGCTCAGAGATGTAAATGAAGGATAGATATTATTTTTCACTATACACGTCTCTGTTGATGCTATCCCTCACATATTCTACTCCCAATTACTCCTGCGTAAAATGGACTAGCCTCTTCATGTTGACATTCAGACTAAAATCACGTGACAGGCTGTTAAAATTGGCTGTTGCATACCCTTTCGCCGGTCTGGAAAATGTGTTTAATTAACTCACATTCAAGCAACAATGCAGATTTCCCAGTGGGAGTGAGACTATTCAAACCCTGCCACTAAAAAATAGGGGTGTTTTCAGCAAAAAACGAATAACCCTGGAATACACACAATATACTGAATTTCGGAACAAATCGTGCATTACTTATAGCAGCAGAATACCACAGAAATATCAGACTAAACATGTAAACACTATATATTGTATTTCAGCATGAACCCTCTATATTGCAATTCAAGGAATTAACCCCATATGTGCATCCATTTCCCACCTTGGTATCACCCACCCCTGAAAACAAACTCTTAATACCACGCTGAAGCGTTTGGTAATAACTGTTATTGGATGCTGACACCCAGATTGAAAAAAACATCCCATAATACAAAAAAAGGATGATCTGTTTTAGGGTTGATTATAACATTTTGAGTAATACAAGCTCACGTCTCTTGCTCGTCAAAATGAAATACGCTATTAGTTTTGTAATGTCTATGCTATATGACCGAATAAATCGTGCGTCACAGTTTGGCTGTACACAAGTAGGTTGGGGATAAAACCCTTGCGATTTATTTCAATATTTTTGTTCAATGTTAATACAAAAAATTCAATAAATTTATGTCAATGTTTACTTCGTACGTTTATGCAAAATAAGACTTATTCGAAAAATAAACCAACTACCGTATTTGCTCTATTAGAAATACAAGTGCTTACTTGAATATGACATGTTTACAAGGTTATCGTATTA